AACAGGGAAATGGTTACATGTGAAGGTAAAAGGTTTGAGAATTAGTTTTCAGTTAACCTTTTAGATTATTAATGTCAAATGCCAAGAACGATTGGGAAAAAAAATCTCATTACAAATTCCAAAGAGGTGTTGTGGAATTGATTGTTTTACATGACAAACAAAACTTAAAGCCATTCAATGTACAAAGATTACAACCAAGAATGACATGTCAGATTATTAGATAATATGAAGTCAAGGCTAAAAAACACAGCATAGGTTCACATTTTACAAGCCGGAACCAGCTAAAGGTACTGTATATTTAAGCTCTAAAGATATAATAAAGTCTAAACTGTCAACTGCTAGTACCTCTTCCTCTCCTGGCTGGAGGTGGGTAAGAGGCCAACGCCAGATGTTCTACCACTGGCAGGTTCAGCAACAGCTCGTCAAGCCGTGACATTCAGTCTTTATAAAAAGATGCAGTTTCATTCGCCATCGTCAGACTAAACAATTTTACACTTTGTTGACTCAAGATGGTCTCGCAGCAGGAGAGGGTATGACGAGACACCTGGGATACAGGATAGAGCTTGTTTTCCAGTTTTCTCTTGGCTCCCACAGCATATGTTAGTTTGGTAGGTGAAGGAAGCACTGTTACATTTTATAATTAAGTGAGTGCCTTGTCCCCTTTGACAGTGACAGGTGCAAAATCTCTACTATAGATAGGCTTTATGTATCCCAGTTGGGATTTCACACTGAAGGAACCCTTGAACACCAATCAGCTGATATTGAGGAAATATCAGCACAGGAATCTAAGGTAACACTTTATTTTACAGGGCCGCTATTTCATAATAATTCCTTGAAGTTTCCTGTAAACAATCATGTTGGTTGGTATTAATTACAGATAACTAGAGACAAAGTTCTAAGAATGTTTTTTTATTGGCATCCAGATGAATTTCCATGGAAGAAACTGCTCAGTGAAAACCCCACTTCATATTTACTGTTTACTTATTAATAACTTGAAATTCTTCATTTATGATGAATTGGATGATTGTTTGTGGACAAAGTTAACATTTTGCATGTTTAGTTCACCTTCTGTCGTCTGAAGAAAGCCTCAAGCGTGTGCTGGCTTAGTTTTTAGAAATAACTGGAAGTGTACCAACTGATGACTCTAATTGTACCTGTAATTATTATGAAATGATATGGCTCCTTCCAGGAAATTATTTAGTAATAAACTGGAATTTACAGACCTGTAAGTTAAAGTGTTACTGAATCTAACATTTTTATTTTTTGATTTCGTCTCTCCTCAGCACAGTACACCGTATTCTCTCCTTCTGTGAAATGGAGGAAGTCAGAAATAGAAGAAGACAAGGCAGGTTAATGTAAAGCGGGAACAAAAGCATAAATTATAAGACTCTTGGAATACAGTGAACATTACTGAACAATGCCCAACATTGTGTAAAAGCTGGGTTTTTACTTAACAGCATCAGTATTTTAGGCTTTAGCATATAGTCACTTTAAGGAAACTCAAAATATAGTAGTGAATCAAAACAGAAGCTGGCATTTAAAAGCTTTTTAAGAACATAAGTGCAAATGTATACGCTGTCATTCTCTTTGGTGTATGTGTATAGGATTTACTGCCTGACCGTTTTCCATGCAGTTACTGAGGACAAGCAGATCAAGGAGGAAGTATTTGTACAGTATGCTCACCTCCCACCTGCTGTGTATCATCTGCCTTGCATGTGGGCGATCACTGCTCACTATGGAGACAATTATCTCAGCTATAAGTCATCCTATTATGGGAACATTTCTACACATGTACATCATGGAAAAATAGCCTGTAGCACATTTGCATGTAACAGTGGAAGCTATGGAAAATCAAATCTGTGTTAAATGGCAAATGCGCCTCAGTCTGTGGGGAACTCGCTGGGCATCGTGCTTCCTGTGATTGTTTAGTACTCTGAAGTATTCAAAGAGTAAAGGCTACAAGACTCCATTGTTGAGTTTTGTACATTCCCTCACAGTAAGTCATTTCACGCTTTCTAATCTGCCAACTGGTTTATAAGTGGTTTGAAGTAGTGAAGCTTCGAATTGTGTTAAACATAAAAAAGGAGGAGGTGAGTAAGGAGGTGTTGTACAGTATTAGTGTGAAGAGGTTTTACAATTTGAAGTCATATTAAAAACAGTTGTGTGTGTGTGTAAGGTTTTTACAAATTGTTTCACAGGTTTACATGAAATTCTGTCCTCTAAGAAGAGTTCATTAGATTTAAACGCCTATAAAGTCCTTCAGGTAGTTTTCTTGTCTCCTGGTGTACTTATTAAACCTGACTGACAGTTGATCATTTTTGATCTAGTATAGAGTAATAGTTGCTAAATATACAAATGACACAGATACGACATTTTAAATGTCACTTAATAAAAATGTGTGCTCGTTTTTTGTGTGCTCCCCTGGTGGTTCGGTTATAATAGCCTGCTGCTCACCATGTCTGTTTGCATCCAGATGGCTGTTGTTTATAAAAATGTATTTGAGCTTACATACAGTATATTAAGTAGATGTTTCATTTATATTGTATCTGATGCAAAACGCTACAGTATATCTGATGGAAACTGAGATTAGGTAACAGTTTGAGGCTCTTAGCAGAATTTAGTGGACAGTCATCTGGTGTGTGCAGGCAAATGATTAAGAAATAAGTCCTATGTCTCTATTTTTAGTCTACACAGAGGTTTTTGTTAATATGGAGGGACTACAGGCAGAATGCTCACCGGTCAGTGGGCCGTAGGAGGTACATAATGCAGCGTGTGTTCGTCCAGGGTGCTTTTGAATACAGAAAGGAAAATGCTCTGTTCTGTTAGTAACACCTCTGCTCCTCAGCCATGTCAGACTGTCAGAGAGAAGAGGTGAGAGTGTAGCTGCTTGAGCGGCCGCACGCGTCCCCCGTGGTCTCAGACTTACCGGTAAATGTTTGTGTAGACCACAACATCGAAGATGCAACACGTAGTGGACACAGAGTTCATCTCTGACCCAGTTGTACAGTGCTAGCATATACGCTATGTACTCTCAGTATTGTCTGTTAACTGTGAAAACTCTTGTTCTACTTTAACTCATAGATTTCTCATACATTACGTAATTTGGAAATGAAAGAATTTGGTATTGGGAGAAAGATTCAGATAGTTTTTTATAAGAAATTAGCATATAACACTTTATAAATAAATTCTCTTAAATTAAAGGCTTTGCATTAAAAACTTAAGTAAATTTACAGTAACACTGTCAACAAAACAGATTTCAAAGCAGATGTACTTATCGTTTTGCACTGTCCGTATTATATATTTTTATTATTGGATACTTGTGAGATGAATCTATAACAGTATTACATACAGTATCTTGAAGGCAGATTATGTTTGAAATGTAACTAATAATCACAGATGTTAAATTAATATAACGAAGTAAAACGTGCTATGGAATATAATGAAGTGAAAGTGTAATGTAACAAAAATAGAAATTAGAAGAACTTCAGGATAGTGATTAATACCATCCTTGAGTAAATATACTCAGACTGTGGTGCATTTATTGTGAAACAGTGAGCCTTTGATGAACTCACCTTTTATAATGACTTTCCTTTGTGTTTCAGAAGACTTAAATAAATAAAACTGATTGTTGGAAATGTTAATCATGATCCAGCATGAGCCTTTTGTAAAGGCGTCACCCAGACACTGTCTGTTGGAAATATGATTTAGTTTTCAGAACAAGAAATCTCACTTTTACTTGAGGATAGTTTTAGTAAAGTAACGTCTGCTTGAGTGGATTATTGCTTTCAGTGGTGCAATCAGTCATCAGTAGATGTTAGTTTGGCAGCAATGGTTGAAGTAGGAATAGTAGCTACTAATAGTTTTTCTGCTGTTGCTACTGATGGTTCAGGCCAGACGATATTAACAACCATATAACTAAAGGGAAAACCCACAGTTTTCTAACTTACACTTACATTTCTGTTAATTTAAAGGTGAAATCGTTCCGATTTTAAAGGTGTTAGTGCTGTGGATAAACGAACACAGGACAGATACAGTATGAACCTTTTAATTGTTCATGTGAATCATGCTTGACACTGAAAGGTTCTGCTGAAAGGGTGGGGAGAGGTGCTGGCTGGTGTGACCCACCAGGGAGGGTGGCAGAACATCCACTGGCTCTGCACTGTAGCTGATCTCACACTCTTCTCTCACAGTTTCCATCTGCGTTTCTCTCCGCACACTACATCACCACATCTCATCCTGGAACTAAACAACCCAGCAGCGCCCTTCTCTGCCTTTACTGGCATCAGCATTTCATTATGTAAACGCTCACACCGCCAGGCTAGCACTGCACTTTCTTTATCAAGTTGGTGATGGTGGCGCATTTACACCTGCATCTTAGAGTGCAAAGCTGAAAAAAGTGATGATGTCAAAGTAAATGACTTTAGCATGAGGGTGCTGCTGCGCTGTTGGAGGAAGTGTTTATGCAGCTAAGGAGAAATGAAGCTACTTGACTGTGATTTTACAGCAGATCACAGGTGTTGCTACACACGCCACAAGGCATGGTAATACTGAAGTTATAGAAGTACTAGAGTATAACATGGAGTAATGTTAGTTCATAAAAGGAGGGGAAATTAGTGATCAAGTAATAATAAAATGGCCCTCTCTGCTTGAGCTTGATGAACAGTCCATAGAAAACATGGTTTTTAAATGACATGATGAAAGTAATGGCTCGAGGGGTAATTTCAGATTAGCATATTAACACCAGTGCAGTGCGTCAGTTAGGTGTTTTACAGCAGTTTCAAACTGAACTCAGCCAATCAGAACCAAGGGCCATAACTTTCTGTTTCAGGTTGATAACTTTAAGTAATTCTGTGTGTGTTTCAGGGTTCTCTGTGTCCCCAGTGTCTTCCACTCCTCCGCTGTCTCTGAAGCCATGGACTAGAGCTGCTTCTGGTCCGGTCGGTCCTGTGGTCGTCAGATGGCTTCTCACCAACCCTCAGCAAAAATACAGACAGTAAGCTGGAGAAAACGTTGAACTGCAGTCATCCACTGTACGCTGTCAAAGCCTGATTTAAGCTCTGACACGATCTTTGATTGTTGTCCGGAAAATATTAAAAACACATAAATCACCACTTCTGCTTCTTCATTACGATGTACATGAGCAATGGAGTTTATTTCATATGAAATGAAGTGCCACCCACACTCCGTATTCAGATATTTTGCTTAAGCAGAAGTTGCAGTACAATAGTGCAAACATTCTTTATTACAAGTAAAAGTCTTACATTTGAAATGTAATATAATTTACGGTAAAAGAAAATCAGAAGTATTGGCTGTGAAATGTTTTTTGTTGTATTTGTTGTCATATTGAATTATTAGATTGTTGATACTGATGCATTAATGCAGAAGTGGCATTTTACTGTTTTTTTTAAGCTGTAGCTAATGAGTATTACATTTTATACTTCTGGGTAGTTTAATTTGATGCACTATTGAATGTGCTGCATGTTTTGTAATTGAAATCTTAATCAGGAAAGTATCACATAGCTTAAGTTGTCAGATAATATACAGTATTTCCCTCTGAAATGTAGTCAGTCAAAGGTATTAATATAAAATATGCACAGGAGTTAAGTAATCACCCTTAGTTACATTCCACCACTACTCCTGTTGCCATAAATATTCACATGCACATCAAATGAGTAACAGCCTGCAGAAAATGGCCCCTAATGCTGTAAATGCACTGTTTTCTCCTGTTTGAGTAGTGCTTGTGGAAAACTAGTGCCCAACTGTTTTAAGAGATTAATATAGACAAATAGCAGCCTAATTTTAAAAGTATATTTTTCTACTGCTGTCAGTCACTGTCACTGTGTTGTAGCACTTTCATATTTTCAGAAGGCTGGTACATTATGTGCGACTAATATGCTAATTGTCATTTTGATGAACAGGAAGCTGGACAGTCACAGCTTCTTCTGGCCCACATGGTTTTATGTCAGGTAGAAAAACACGCAGTAGGGTGTTTCTGAGTCATAAGTACCTCCCACAGAGACAGTAATCTCAACAAGGCTGTCCTTAAAGGAAAGCATGAAGTCATGACTTATTGCATAAGATTCAGCTGTTTCTGTGTCTCGCTCCACACCACTAGGCTCAAGGATTTTTGCCCTGCAAAGCAATATTGTGAATCTGATGTAATGGGCAGCCTATTATTCTGTATTAAGTTAAACGTCCACCCCTAGATAGTGCAGTTATGTGCACATACATGTACGTATGTTGTCTCTTTGATCGTCAGAGTAGGAGAGACTGACTTTCAAGGCTTTTAAATATCCTGTAAAATCCTACAAAATGCCTTTTGGTACTTAACAAAACCCTTTACCTCATAGATGTATTTTTGGTCACCTGCTCCAGCAGACCACCCTGTGGTTCCTGTAATTAGCATGTACTTAAATTCTCTCAGTACAGTAATGCACATGCAACACAATGCAAATAGCTGACAGTAACTAGGCCAGCTTAAGTGCAGCTTTGGCTCATTAATAATGCATATGATAAAGACTAAAGTCCCTAGGTCTTGAACAGAGATACTTTTGCTCTCTGGTGCCGACAACCAAGCAGTGAATCGATGGATCAAGCAGAGTATCTGGAGGTCACTGACCTGAGCAGCCTTCAGACCTCTGGTTCGCACACAGAGGCCTGGTGTCAGCTGCAAACCTGGGGGTGTTTGTTTCTTCACTGACAATGTTTTGAGATCAGTCTTTCTGTCACCCACACAGCCTCTGGTGGAATGAAAGCTATGCATGGACTCATTCATTCCATGGACTGAGGGAGTGCACGCATGTTCATCTTGAAAGTGTTGATTTTGACCTAACAAGGCAATGCTTGTTCATTAATAGAGCCCTATAGTGCTATTGTATGAGGTAAACATGCTCACCAAATAGGATCATACTAGACAGTGAATTGCCCAACTCAACAAACAGTGACCTGTCATCCTTCCTTGCTGTTCAACTCAGAGTACTGGTGTGGTGTAAGATATTTGATCATACCCAGAAACCCTTGGTCGACACTCAGTAGCAGGAAGAGGGTTAATGTTGTTATTAACATAAGCGGTGGGCCAAAGGCTTTGCAGATGAGCAGGTGTGTCCTGGATACGACCTCGAGCTGTACTGTTGATATTGCATCTGTGCTGCTGAATATTATGTTATGACTGTTGGCAAGAGCTGGGAGGAGCACTGGGAGTGGAGCGCTATTCACAGTACTATGAACTTTCAGCTCGATGGAGCATTACACATCAGTACAAGCCAGCTGAGACTACGGCTGGGATTAAAATAGGAGAGAGGGGAAGACCAGTAACTGTTTTCTCACAGAGGTTAGTGAGCAACGGGCTCTTTCTTTAAAGTGTGCCTCAAATTAATTTGCTGTAAAACTGCGTATGAGACCTGCTGTGTTTCTCATTGCTGTTTTTTTTTTTTTTTCCCCAGATGAGAACGTGAAGGCTGGCGTCCACCAAGGCCACCGCTGCACCTTGGGCAGCGCACACGCATGATCACATGACTCTGGACATGGACTCGGTCCTGTCAGACTTTGTTCGGTCCACAGGGGCAGAACCAGGTCTGGCAAGAGACCTGCTGGAAGGTAAGAGACTACTGAGACATTGAAAGCCATGTCTTCAAGTCATTCTCACAAACTAAACAGGTTTATAAAATACTCAATATTTGGGAATTTCTTTTTCGATCAGCTGCTCCCTGTGGTGCTGGAACTGCACTCAAGCGAGCAGAGGAGAGGAAGGGGCAGGTGGAGAGGAAATGAAAAGAAAGGAAACAAAGGGTGGGAGGAGAAGAGATGGGCCTGTAACAGTGAGCCAGCTTGCTGATTTAAAGGCCAGTGTGACGGTTTTACGAGTGCACTCCCCTGGGAGAACTTTGTGACCATCCACTGGAGCTCACAGAGGAGCAGAGTGCTATTGGCTCCTCAGTAAGAAGATGATTAGCCTAGTGTATGTATAGCTCACATACATAGCCACCTGAAAAAAATGCACAAAACAACAGAAAGGTGTTTGAATGTCAGTTGAATTGGCTTTGCTATCTAGAGATTTCAAAAGTGATGTTTTTTTTGGTTTTAAAATGTTCTGCACTCTAAGCCCTGGATGAGAGCATGTGAAATCCAGAATCTGGTCGAACTTAAGCAAAGAAAAGCAGATATACTTTAATTAGATTTACAGTAGGGAATGAAATCCTCGTAGGGTGTTTGCATTTTACATGCGTTCTGAAAATCGTTTTGTCTCTGTGTGTATATAAAGCAGCCAGTGTTTAGTCTGAAAAAAGAATGAAGGTGTTGGGTGTCTGTCTCTCCCTCCCCCTCAGTCATTTCTTTTTCTCATTCCGCTTTGGTGCAAAGCCACAGGGGCATACGTGTGACATACACCAAACAAGACACTGCACTCAGACAAGACAGACATGGGGCTAGATGTCCTATTTCTGTGTTATGCCTCAGCTGTTAGCTTAGCTTTCCAGACCTGCATCAATCAGCTGCTCTGATAACCTCAGGTCTGAGACAGGATAGTGTGAGGAGTCAGATGAGCAGAGAGACAGAGGAATATGACAGCGCCATATGTGGTGCTTCCCTCTAGAGGCTGGTTTATGTACTGAATGTCTCTACAAGTAAAGGAGCTGAAACAATGTCCATGCCACAGTAATAGCAGGCTAATGCAGAGATAATTAAAGGTCATGCATTAGGTGCTGAGTGGCTGGATCTGAAGTTGTATTCCTGGATTTGTCCAGCTCAAGCCGCTAAAATCCATACAGTGGCATCATTTTTGTACCTACTGACGTGAAGAGTGGTGCTAGGTTTCATGCTCGTACTGCTGAGAATCACCTGTGTGTGGAAGTCAGGAGACAGGAGAGAGGCCAACGTCCTCCAGGTCTTTTACACGGGGAGTTCATTAATGAACCCTGAGCCTCACAAACATGCTCAGGTTACACGGCCCTCTGAATGTTTGCAGTTGACAGTGTTTATGATTTATAAAGACTTTTAAGGAGATAGCTCCTGTGGCATCGAGAGAAGGCTGAGATATAATAAGACTTGTGTCTGTTAAACTTGGAAGGGATTTCTGTTACAAAGACAGCACCCAGAGGAGACAGCCATCTGTGTGTGTTCATGGTGTGCATGTGTTACCAGTGTGTGTGTGTCACATCAGGATATTGCTGTCACTGTTAAAGGATCTGTCTCCCCTCACTGTCTACATTTTTGTGGCACCACCCAGCCCAACCTTATGATGCTCCATGATTTCTTCAGGCAAATCATTGTTTGGCATTGCTCCACATGGGCTATGTACAGTATACCATTGTAATGGAGCTCAGTATTTTACATTTTAAGAGATCTGGCAAATATTTATTTAGAATAATAAAAAGACATTAAACCAAAAATATTTCTCAGATTGTTTTGATTGTTTTTATCAGTTAATTAAATCTGGCTTATATGCAACATTTTACCCCAGTTTTCCTTTTCGCTCCTGCTATGGGTAATTTATTCTGTCATGAAATAAATCCTGTACGCTGCAGTGTCCTTTTGCACCAGGAAAACAACAACTTCTTAAAGAGTGAGAACACAACATTGGGTAGAAATTAAAAACTTCCTCATTTATTAAAAATGATTATACTGATGATAAACTTACAAGGAGCAACATTCGCCGTGGAGACTCAGTACCATTATCATTAGAATTTAAAGTCTGTGAGCAGTCAGACCTTTGTGTGTGTTCTGCAGGTAAAAACTGGGACCTCAGTGCTGCTCTAAATGATTATGAGGAGCTCAGGCAGGTCCACACTGCCAACCTGCCGCAGGTCTTCAATGAGGGCCGCTACTACAAGCAGCCAGAGACACGTGACACTCCCACCCATGTCAGCAAGATCGACAGGCCGTGTGCACAGAAGCAGGAGGACAACACACAAGGTAGCAGGGCCATCTTTATGCAGTATTATCACCATCAGTGACTTCAACATTTTAGTTTTGTCTTCACCTGCTTCTCACTCATCCATTCAATTCTTCCTTCTTCTTCTCCCCGCAGAGAAGCGTCTGTCTCGTGGGATCTCTCACGCCAGCTCTGCTATTGTCTCCCTGGCACGGCTGCAGGTGGCCAGTGAGTGTACCAGCGAGCAGTTCCCTCTTGAGATGCCCATCTACACATTCCAGCTACCAGACCTCAGTGTGTACAGCGAGGATTTCAGGAGCTTCATAGAGAGAGACCTGATAGAGCAATCCACCATGATGGCTCTGGAGCAGGCTGGTTCGTACTACAAGATATACAGTAATTTAATATGATGTCAGTAATGTAGACAGAGAAATAAAGAGCGAGTCTGAGAGTGAGACAGAGTAGATCAGAGTAGCATCATCATCTGGAAGCAATATGACAGCAGCTAAATTCAAAGCATCCTGGATCCCAGTGGATTCAGCTCCCAGGTGAAGCACGCGTTCCTGTGTGGAGACTACAGAGACCGTAAAGCTGTTGTGGTACATGGAAAAACATCCAAATTTTGAGCCTATTACACTAAGGGGTAAATCTTTCCGGCCCTCTCCTCTGTTTACCTTTGTACTTTTGTCGTCTCTTCCTTAGGGATGCAGACAGGAGCTCCTCTGAAGCAGACTGATGAGGACGATAATCAGAGGGTTTTTTTGGTGGGGGGTGGGGGGACTGCTGGGCATTTGGAAGAGGGTGCAGGCATATGACCTGTATTAATCACTGCCTTCAAAGTTTAGCTATCGAGGCTCATCTTGTTGTTCTCGACGGAGATTATTAGTGCCTGTACTGAGAGACATTAGGTTGAACATTAAGGTTCACCTGTACATCTGAAAACGTCTAAGTAATTCTTTTTTAAGTCTATACGTTTGTTTGTTTGTTTTGTTTTTTGTTGTTGTTTTATTTGTTTGTTTTGTAGATTATATTCTTGTCCTCATGGAGATGATTGGCTGGGTTACAAATCAATGTTTCTGTGGGCCCAAAATCCCAAATGAGACACTGAACTGTGTAAAATCATTTGACATGGAAATGTTATCATTTTGTTTGTTTGTTTGACTTTGAGTAAATTCGGAAAACGGCGTTTATACGTCCTTCTGTTTGTCAGTTTTGTACAGAATTCATACACATATTTTTTTATGTGTGTGCAGGTCGCCTAAACTGGTGGTCCACCATGTGCACCAGCTGTAAGAAGCTGCTTCCTCTGGCCACCACAGGGGATGGGAACTGCCTTCTGCATGCTGCTTCTTTAGGTGAGCTACTGGTGTACGCTGCAGTATATTTAATATACAGTATAACCATAATTTCTATTATCATTTCTTGAACTTAAATCATCCAGCTTGGCATGGAGAAACTGCACGAGTCAGTGTCACAGTTGTCTAGTAGCTGCGTCACAGCTGCTGAATCCAGAGGAGGGAGACAGAAACGGAGATAGGAAGGGACATAACTGACCAATACGTTGCAGCAAAATGTCATCTGCAGAGTTTGCAGGGTTTAGGGTAAGACAGCATATTCAGGTCTGTGCTGAAGGAAATGGTTGGCTCCCCAGTGTGAGGTCTGCAGGAGCAGCAGAGGCTTAAATCTGTACTGACAGTCAGAAAGCTGAGGCCCTTTGATGACTGATGAAAGCTATTTAAAGAGCTTAGCTAATTTCCGAATGATTTATCAGCATTGCTTAGTGCTGTTAAGAAATTCATCTGCTTGTTTTTGTGAACTATATGCGATGGCGGTGTTGTATTAACATGCCGTAACAGCACTGTGTGTCTGCACTGGTCAGGGATGTGGGGCTTCCATGACAGAGACCTGATGCTGAGGAAATCCCTGTACACCATGATGAAGAGCGGAGCAGAGAGAGACGCTCTGAAGAGGAGGTGGAGGTGGCAGCAAACCCAACAGAACAAGGAGGTTGGGAGAGTGTCCATCTTAGCACACTGTACCTCCTAAATCACATCTTCTTTGACTAATGACACATTAATAAATTCATATGAGCGAGTGAAGGGATGAACTACTCGTAACCTCTGTTACTAAACAGTGATTTTTGCTTCCTTGCTGAGCTGCACATTTGGATTTTTGCTGTGAGGAAAATAGCCTTTTTATGATACCAAGCGTGCTTTTAGCAGTAGTGCTACTAATACTGTCAAATCCTCTGCACTTCCTCTCATTTCTCTTGATGCTCGTGGATTAAAGTATTTGCCGATCTATTAGAAAAACTGTGTTTCCAAAGATAGCTCATGCACAGAAGTAGTCCGGATGCTCATGTTTTAAAAATGCCTGGGGAATCATGGTGGCCCAGTGATCTAAGACGCATCCCATCTAAGACCGGCGTCCTGATTTGGGTCTGAGCAGGGACCTTTTTTTTATAAGTAATATTTCTTATCTCTTCAGTCTAATGATCAATTAGCAGCATAAACCTGACCAAAAAGGCCCACATGTGTTTAATGCATAGAGCTTCAGGAGATAAGCTTGCAAATGGGAATAGTGAAAATGAATAGTAATAGAGATTGTGTGGGTGAGCACCAGCACCGTGCTTATCAGAGTTTCCATTTTTATGTATATGTTTGTGCAGTCAGGGCTGGTGTACACTGAGGAGGAGTGGGAGAGAGAGTGGAACGAGCTGCTGAAGTTGGCGTCCAGTGAGCCTCGCACTCACCTCAGCAAAAACGGAAACACCACTGGAGGGTACACTGTTCAATTCACATACCCTGCAGTCTGCATATATACACCCTCTAGATTCCCAAGACACAACACATATTAAACTCCTTTTTTGTGTAAAATGGAAAACAGTGCGAGTTGTGCAGCTTTCATCCCACATCATACATTACAGTGGTCCTGTTGTGCATCAATGCCTTGTGCAGTGATACACAGTCTAAAAATGACCTTCTCACTAAGCTGGGTTTGTCAGGGAAACTCATTGTTCCCGTTCGGACTGTTGCTCTTTCAGACTGCTTCGTTGATTTAACAACATTGTTGAAGCTCACTTCGCCATCCACTGGCTGCCATCAGTATTGTTTATTTCTTGTGTAACAGTCTCCCCTGAGCTGTGGGTTACTTTCAGCTGCTGTAGGTGATGTGATAAAACCCTCCCACCTCCGGTTGCCTAAACAAGTGTAAGAATGGGTTGCTCTCAGGCTACAGAGGCAGGTTGGAAACTAAATGTGGTTTCCTCCTCTTACGCACAGAAACCTTGTGGTTTTCTCTGTTTCCATTTTCACTGAAATAAATATTTGCACTTTCTCATGTACTTGTTAGGTATAGCAGCCGTTGTTGGAGAAAAACATATAGCTAGCAGAACAAAAAATACTTCGTAACACTCCTGCCCTAGATTGACACGTCATTTAATTATATGAGATGGAGTTTAAGCAGGTTCTGGAGTCTGCACTTACAAATTGAGTTAAACGTGCAAACCTTTTAACAAACAATGTTGTTTCCACATCACAGTGTCTTTACATGAATTCACCGTTTTCCTGTCGTTGACTCGTCCAGCATGAAGCCCTCTGCCACTGAAAGTACCCAATTAAAGAGCATAATTTACTCATTTAGTCTGGTAGTTTTAACCTCTCACTGAGTTTGACGGTAATACAATAATCAGGTTAGGGATGTTTGATGGTCCTAGTGTGAGATGAGACCCTAAATAGGATGAGTGGGATTCACATATTAAGAGGCTCTTTATTAGAGTGAATCTGGCAGCTTGGCTGTTTGTGTGGCTGACAACTTAATTGTTGCACATCGCCTGGTTCCCTGGAGGTTGCATGCCTGAGAGCTCTCTCTCTCCCACTCTCTTTCATTCATGGACAGATGGATCATTGTACATTGTCGCCCTGTCTGTTAAATGTAGACAGAGGGCAAAATAGATTCTATTGGGTCAGATGAGATTACACAGGCACATATGTTCACTATTTTGGTTACAGCTGTTTTCATATCTGTCAGTACCAGTTCAGGAAGTTGTCATGGTATCCCGTGATCCCACAGCGTGAGGTGTGTTATTTTTTAATGTTTTTTTCAGGGTGGATAACTCTGAGGATCCAGTGTATGAGAGTCTGGAGGAGTTCCATGTGTTTGTACTGGCCCATGTATTACGGAGGCCCATTGTAGTGGTGGCTGACACAATGCTCAGAGACTCAGGAGGAGAAGGTATGTTAGCTGCATCCTGCCACTACTGTCAGCAATGCAGTAGGGCAAGCAGTCAACTGACACTATAAACTGTGTCCTAACTGAATTCCAGCCTTTGCTCCCATCCCATTTGGAGGGCTCTATCTGCCCCTGGAGGTGCCTCCAAGCCGCTGTCACTGCTCCCCTCTGGTCCTGGCCTATGATCAGGCTCATTTCTCCGCACTGGTGTCAATGGAGCAGAGAGACCAGCAGCGAGAGCAAGGTAAGCAGCCATACATCACAAAATCACTTAGATACTCAAAATCCTGACAGAAAAACACGGTGGTACATAAAGGTTGAAATCTGGGATGGAAGCCTTTTCTTGACCTCCTTGAAAAAGTGTTTCACCTGCTGGATCTTGCCATGGTTAAGCAGTCTTTGCTTTTAACTTAGACTGCGAGAACAAGGGCGTGTAGTCTTCCTGTCCTACTACATGTGAATAATGTATGAGACGGCAGTCTATTTACCTGTGATCAATTTTTAAAACAGGCCAGCTGGCAGTAGGAATGAGGGAGCGGCCAACATGGAGGGAGACTGGTCAGCAGACTCCTGACTTGCTGAGCACTGACCAAATCATTTAAGCCTGGATGTTGTCGTACAGTGTTGTGTCTACAATTCTTTTTTAGAAGTCACCGTTGCTTGAATTTAGTTTGCCACAGCAGGATAGGTATGCTGCTTTTGCATTTGCTTCTTTCCCAGGAATGTGCGGTATGGTGCTATCCTGAGCATATTGATTGTGCTACATTGTGGCAACAGAGGGTTGATTTTCTGTTGTGTTGAGTGACTCTTGTTTTGGTCTTGTTTTGCCCGTTCAGATGCCAGTGTTCCCGCTCCGGATGCACTGCTTATTCTCTCGAGGTCAGAGCAATCCTCACATGAAGTTCCTTCAGTTGATAAATAGAGTAGATCTCCTTGACAACCAGTCTTAGGTAGTCACGGCACTCTTCTGTATCTGACTCAGTGTGTGGAACTCACTTGTCATTTGTGTGGGCAAACGGCCAAGTCCGTCTCTCGGCCTGTTTTTCCTACCCTCAAATACAGATACACTTATGCAAGCTGTCTTCCTCCTTCCCCTTCACTCTCCTTTGTGTTTTCCTGTGTACGTAAAGTCCTGTTCTCAGCCTATAAACACCAACCTAGTTATTAAGTCAGGGTACGACCACTGAATAGCAGACAGACATGATTACTAACCTGCCATTTCTGCCCTGTAGTCATTCCCTTTAATACTAGCAGCACATCAAAGCCACCCTCCTTCACAGCACGGAAATATTCAGTGCCCCTACTTGTATTTGGGTGTTGTAGTGCAGCTGAGGGGTTTTCTTTTCGTCCACCAGATGGTGCATATGTCCAAAGAACCCAGTGTAGTTGCATGACTACACTGGTACACTGCGTCCTCAGATAGGATCAGCATATGTTTTGTCTGCAGTCTTTCTCCAGGATGTTATGAAAACACTTTTGTGCTTAGCTTGGTGCATTTATGTGTCATGTGATTAATTGTACTGCACAGTAATGACAAACCTGAATGCACTGGTTATGCTTTTCTGCATTTTATGTATGGAAGAGGTCTAGTTGTCTATTTTTGGTTGACATAATTGGAGCTGGATGAACGTTTTTATCATTACTGAATTACAAGACAAGTATAATGTTACCATGATGGCTTGTATCTCTGAACAGATGCCAGACAGACAGGTTGACCTGTACTAATTAGAGGAGAGGAGCCCCAGCAGGCCTCTAAGCCCTCATCACACATGGGCAGGGTCCCGGTCTGCAGGGGCCCCAACAAACCAACCCTTTCTCTTGACAGTCAGGCTACTGTGTGGACGTCTCAGGTAGATGGTTGCTCTCAGTTTCCCTCAGCACAGCAAAGAGCAACCAAGGGGCTGTTGGTACTGTGTGTGTTCAGGTGCCAGAGGCTGGGTTAGAATACTGGCTCTTTCTTTAGCTCCTCTGTATGGAAGATTATAGCATAGTCCCTCCCACTCAGGGATCCTAAATCGCACTGACACATCACGTTACTGCCCCTTTTATGTCCTGCTTGTTTGGCTGCTGGGGCTATATTGATGGTGGATGGTGAAAAGAACAACAAGGCAGGGGTGGCTGAAGTTAGAGGTTATTGCTAAGGATCAAAACTTTCTTTTATTTTTTTATTTTTTCGCATCCCTAAATAGCTGTCAGTTGGTTTTCCTGGGTAAGGCAGTCAGGTGAACCCTGAGTCCTGTGCACATGGGTATATTATATTTTTTTTATCAGCCCACTGCTGCTCACCTGCTGTGTGATAATGACTAGCTCGTCAGTAGACGCCTCTGGCGGTGTCTTTTATCAGCTTGTTTGTGCTCCTGTGGTTGAAAGATGTGTGAGTGGAACTGGCCCTCTGGAAAACTGGAGCTAGAGCTATTTCAAGCCCTAGTCCCGATACCAAAACACTTCCAAGTTTTCTTTGGCATCCCTTCATCAACCCTCTAACACCCTTTTGAATGAAGTAAATGGCTGTCTTTTACACAAAGACCACCTACACACAGTGCAGTGTGACCCTCCACCTCTGACCAGGTTTCACCTCTTTGTCTATCAAAGACACTCAGTGTGCGATTCAACATGTAGTCGGCGTAATTATTTGTAATTCAATGTCTGTATGTAGTCGGCATAATTAAATCAATATGGCAACCAGAATTAAAACCTTATTTGTTGTGGATTTATGCATATATTTAAGTGTTACCACAGTGGTTCCGCTGTTAAAGACTGGGGCAGAAAAGCTTGTCGGCTTGTTTATATGCATGACTGCTGTTTACTCTGGTCAACTGGGCTCTTTAAATCTGCAGCTGTGCAGTGACCAAAGTCAGGAATTCAAATTTGTGCATTTTCCAGATAGTACAAATTGTTCTTGAATCACAAAGCAGAAGAAATCATTGGCTCAGTGTTCCTGCTGTGAATCTAAGCCTGTAATGGGTGACTTTGTCCTCAGAATGGATTAAAAGAGGAGGGAGAACCCACTCTCATTCTGTTCTCACCACACAAGATTTGATATACTTGAGTCAACCATTTTGCACAAACTAAAAAGATAGAGTAAGATTATAATGTCCAGTCAAATCATATGAATAAAAGCTTTAAGCGGTATCTACCTCATTTCCATCAGCTGTTTCCTCACATTACATCAAGGTTTCCTCCCCCTTCTCTCTTCATAAATCATAGATGCAAACTGAGCAAGGTGAGGCAGGTTAGCAGCTATATGCTGAGTACACAGCAGCAGCAGCACCACCACGACAACACATACCACGGAGGACTATGATGTCATCATGCATAAGCTATGGGAATCGGTCATTCAAGGACAACAAAACAAGGCTGCCAGCAGGGATAGTAAATACATTACGGCACACTTTAGTCCCTCAGAGCTCAATTGGCAGTGTTGAATCTCTGAATCTGGACTGGGCCCAAGTGGGAACAACAGTGCACACAGCACTTTTGAATGGGGAGAAAGGAGGGCAGCTGCGGTGTGGGAGCCAGGACGCCACTCACAGACCTCCGCTGCCTGCTGCATGACCTGAGTGGGAGCTGGTTCACTGTCTTCTGTCTGTGTGTGTGTGTGTTTGTGATTATGACCTCTAAGAGAAAACATCTGTTTGTTTGGGGGGGTTTTTGCTCCCAGTTTTCAGTGCTGCCATGCCAGTGCTCTCATGACTGTTTGACTTTAATCTGGCCTTTTATTAGATAGATGGTATAACATCTACCTGTAGTTTTAGGACAGATTTCTGGACAGGCCTAGTTTGTCAGCACTGCTGTTAGTGATATTTTTCCTCAGCTGATGGAATTTGTTTGCTTAGTGACTAATGCTGTCAAATACAAATAAATGATCATGTTATCAGTGTTAAATGTGCTAGTGTGGGTGGGGCTGTGCCAATTCTATTTCAAGACTTTAAGGTATCATCACAATGCATGTGCTGCCAGGATGATACCTCGCCTGCTTCATCATGTGTCTTGCACCAAGGCAGAGGCACTCAAAAACAGACACCAAGGGAGAAGCAGGATTTGACCTACAGTTTCACCTGAGACACAGAAGGGGCATTTGCTACTGGTGTCTGTGAAGCCTGCAGAGCAGAGCAGCCATTTGGCAGTGGAAGAATTGATGAGGCAGGGAGGAGACTGTATCTTCCATCTGGGGCTGACAGGGAAGGCAGCCTGCATCTCTCTGCTATCATGTGGACAGCAGCCCCCACACTAGGTAGCCTGAGGAGAGCTGTCATGTGGGCCAGTGGCTTCTAGCTAGTCCTCCCTACACTTGTTGTGAAAGGCAGCCATGCACTCACACACAAACACGTACACATCCACACTGAGCGCACACACTGTATACACACCTCCCACGAGAGGAAACCCAGGTGGGTGTCTGTTTTATGTTCTGTGTCCAGTGATTATTGTCGAAAACCTCCTCCTGCTTATAAGGAGCAGATCATATCAGTGGAGGATGAATGAAGTGATTTCAGCACTCCTGCTCTTATCCTGTACCTCTGTGTCTGATTGCACCATTACTAAACCCAGTCATCATGTACACCCTGATCCGTTGTACAACTACTTGACTCATGTTATCATGCCAAATATAAAATATAATTTCCCTTATTGTTATGTAAGATAAAGTTCCATTTTATCACAACCTGGGTCCTATTTATATATGTTTGGCCATCCTTCCTAGTGGTTACACCATATTTACAAATTTAAATGTACAAAGACAAGCTTTTAAAGGGAACGCCAGGTTAGCTAAATGTCCTTGGAATTAAAAACAAAGATGAATAAAAAGCTGTAAACATTCATCACAATTTACAAGCTATAGTTTAACTTTGACATAACATATTTCTCATAATTGTCCATGCACAGTTTTCCTGTACATTCAGGGTTTGTTACCAACATTTTAAGTGTACTCACTTAAAATAAAGTGGCTTTGATAATTGGGATAAACTGTTGTGTGCAACCAGTCGTATCATCTAAACGCTTGTGTTGCCTGCTCCGTTTGGATTTTGTTGTTGCAATATTGTTGTTTCGGGTCTCAGTAATTACTCTGTTGATTGTAGTGTTAAAGTAGCTGATCATGAAAATAAGGATTAAAAGTTTGTTCTTAACCTTGAACAAAGTACTTTTCAAAACAGTCTCACCAAATGGTCCATTTTATATAAAACAATTAATAGACTAGACTAGACAGACCCATAGCTCAGAGAACCAGGGACCGGTTTGTGTTATAAGAGCTGCAGCTGACTGAAGCCCTTCTGTGTCTGGATGAGTCAGTATGAATGCCACTCACTGGTCACGGTCACTTCTCTGCCTAAAAAGTGGATGGCAGATAGAATACACCCCCAGTATATTCTACCCCACGCTGACAGGCATTGGGGATAATTAATGTGACTTTCTTCTAGTGTGTCATTATGGTGTCACTTTAGCTCTGACACCACGATGGCCTTGTAAGAGAACGGATGGCATGCAATGTAGTCTCTGGTGGTAAAGCTAGACCAAACTAACCTTCTGATAATCTCATCTCTTCCAGCTGTTATCCCTCTGACTGACTCGGAGCACAAGCTGCTGGCACTTCATTTTGCTGTGGACCCTGGCAGGGACTGGGAATGGGGGAGGGACGACAATGATAATACCAAGCTAGCCAAGTAAGTCCTCTATGGTATATCACAGGGTGTCGATGCCTGTAAACAAAGCACAGAGAGCCCCTGGACTAAGAAAGAAGCCACATGGAGAGCAGAGTAAAAACCTCAGGCCAAGGCAGTTCTCTTAGTCTATCATAAGGCTGTACGTGGGGGATTTAACTCTGATCATGGGCTCTGGTCTCAAAAAGATGAGCACAGAGAGAAAACTAATTGTAAGTCACATCAGTCATCCATAGGGGTTCTAAGAAATGACCTCAGTAAAGCAGAAACACCCTTTCTGGGTTTAACCAAGAGTTTAAGGTTTCACATTCTTGCCAGTCAGGGAGTTAGCTTATCCTGTGGAAATACAGAGAAGTGATGCTCTAACCACTTCCTCATAGCACCTCTTTATATTACCCTTAATGCATAGCAGGCATTGTTTACGTGAGGGTTCTACTCAAAGTCACCGGTGAAATGCAGCAAGTTTCATGCTTTTTAATTTCTCCAGAATGGTTCAAAGAGTTTTTTAAATATTTTATTTAATTACAGTAAATTCTAAAATATGATACTAGACCCTTATTCTCACTGTATAGGCAGCAAAGTTTTGGTAAAAACATTTGTCCAAAGTCAGCTCTCTTATACCAGTGCTTGTTGTTAATCATGGGTACATGTTCCCCTGCAGTCTCATCTTGTCTCTGGAGGCCAAACTCAACCTGCTGCACAACTACATGAATGTAACATGGATCCGAATTCCATCTGAAGCAAGGGTAACCTTTTCTTGCATGTGTTTCTTGGTTGTCATGGTTAATTCAACCCTGGAGAAATTACTTGATTGCAGATGTTCCTGAAACCACAAAGTCCAATCAGTCAGTTTTATTTACTGTCAGAATGTAGTAATTTACAGGCTGTGATGTGCATATGATTAGGTTAAAAATACAGGCAATTAATTTCTTATTTATTTATGTGAATGTGTCTGGAAATCATTGGGGAATCTCTCTCCTTTAGTAAACTAGAAATTATTGTTGAATTATTCCTTTAATCAAAATGTTATGAAGTTGTCTCGGAGAAATTGATGCTTCTGCTATATTCTGTTTTCTTCACGTGTTTGTGTCTCTCTGTGCAGGCTCCCCTGGCTCAGCCTGAGTCTCCCACAGCCTCTGCAGGTGAGGATGTCCAGTCTCTAGCTGAGTCCATGGACTCTGACCGTGAGTCTGTTGGCAGCAACTCTAACGTCAACACCGGTAAGCCCATCAAGGAGAAGGACAAAGACAAGCAGCGCAAGGACAAAGACAAGAGCCGGGCTGATTCTGTAGCCAACAAACTAGGTAGCTTCAGCAAAACCCTGGGAATCAAACTGAAGAAGAACATGGGAGGTCTGGGTGGCCTCGTGCATGGCAAAATGAATAAATCTAACTCTGGCTCAGGTCGCAGTGGGGAGAATGGAGGGGAAAAAGCAAAGAAAAAGGAGTCTAAGACATCCAAGGGAAGTAAGGAGGAGTCAGGTCAGTCAGCCAGCTCCACCTCCTCTGAGAAGGCCACTAGTCCCTCACCTACAGACAGAGACAGACCTTTCAGCTCCTCCCCCACCGAAAGACAGGATAGTGCAGGGAAAGTCTCAGGGGACAAGACCCTGGAAAACTGGAAATATAGCACCGATGTCAAGCTCAGCCTCAATATCCTGCGGGCTGCCATGCAGGGAGAGCGCAAGTTCATTTTTGCAGGCCTCCTGCTCACCAGCCATCGACACCAATTCCATGAGGAGATGATCAGCTACTACCTGACCAATGCTCAGGAGCGCTTCAGCCAGGAGCAGGAGCAGAAGAGGAAGGAGGCTGAGAAGAAGCCTGTTGTCACCAGTGAGGTTCCCGTGAAGAAGCCTGAGCATGAGACTGTCTTCCAGAGGGAGAGATCGGACAGCTCGCCTCCAGAGAGCTGCTCTCCCGTCCTGCCCCACCACACCCACACCTACAACCACAGCTCACAGCCCCCGCTGGCTCTCAAGATGCAGGGCAGGAACAGCCCCACTCCTGCAGCCGCTTTTGTCCCAGTCCCACCTCTCACCCCACCTACAGCCTCCCACCATGTTTCTCAACCAGTGCCAGCCCCTGCGCCTTACTCCTCCCCCAGTATTGGTGCTAAGAGACCTGGGCCCGTTCCTGTGTCTGCCCACTACAGCCATACACCACCCATCCAGAGGCACAGTGTGATTCACTTACAAGATGTCAACAGGCAGTCCTCCATCTTCCAAGATGACCCCTATAAGCCTGTGGTGGGCACCCTAAAGACATGCGCCACCTACCCCCAGCAGAACCGCACACTCTCTTCCCAGAGTTATAGCCCTGCTCGCCTGTCAGGGGTCCGCACTGTTAACACCTTGGAGGCACTGTCCTACAACATGCCCGGTGAACACAAGTCCCACACCTACACCAATGGATTTGATGCGGGAGACATTCAGGACTGCCTTGAGTTTGCTGATGAGGACAACTCATCTCACACCTGGCTCAACCAAGACAAAACCAAAGGGCGGAGGTCTGTAAGCCCTTTGTACTGCTTTCAGCAGCGCCGCTGCAAGAGAGAGAATTGCTCCTTCTATGGCAGGCCAGAGACAGACAACTACTGCTCCTACTGCTACAGAGAGGAGCTGAAACGCAGGGAGAGCAAAGTGCAGAGGCCTGCATAGCCATCACAACCACCTCAGCCACTTGTCAGCAAGGCCGTTAGAGACTTGAGGGAACAACACCATCTGCACTCTGCATTTAGAATAACACGATGGCAAACCTTTTCCTATTTTGTTGAAGAATGCTCTTGTATTCCTGTCACCCTTCCCTTGTTAGTAAAGATTCTTACTTTATGATGGGGGAAGCAGAACTTGAAACGGTGAGCAGCTTTGGCCAGATATTGTGCTTTTGTTTTCTTTCTGTCACTGAATTTAGTCTTTTACTTGTTTTAGAGTAAAAGTCATCTCTGTGTGATGTAACTTTCTGTATGTGAGGGAAAGTTCTTTATTTTTCAAAGTGCAAAAGATTTGCATCTCATTAGGAGGGAACATTTTAGCTCTTTTAATCGGTTTGAATGCAATACCTCTGCTTGATTCTTCAAAATCTCTGTGAAAAATTTGTAGTTGTTTTGCAATCAAAGTAAATTTAATGGGAGATTAATATTAGACTTTAAAGCAATAAATTGGTGATTTTTGCTACACCCTTTCTCACTTCTGTCTATGCACCAATAATATAGCTACTGTAGGTTAACTGTGTCTTGTAAATTGTAAAGGATTGTCTCAGTGCTTTTGTAAACAAATTTGAGCTACAGGAAATTAAAACGTCTAAGCAGTATAGAGAATAATGTTGGATTAGGATGAAATATAAAATTACCCAATTTGCTAAGCGTACCTTTGCTCTTACTAGGGAGCAAAGGATTCCTGTATCAGAATTGAACTAAAAAGATCGTCCCGGATATCATTTCACATTTTTGCCCACAGTCAACCTCCGAAAGACCACAAGCACTGCCGAACTGGCTTCCTTAAAAAAAATCACAATTCAAATTTTCATAACAATTTTGAGCAATGTGCATAGGATGACTTGCTTCTCAAATATGCAGTGTTTATGGTGTGTTTCTCTGAGTTGCCTCTTAACTACTCTATTCGGTAAATGTGGTAGATGAGAAGAATTGTGGGTAGGGTAGTGAGAGCAGGCTGATGCATATTTGTCTGAAGTGTGATTACATGTCTCATCTCCCCTACACACACAACACAATGTGCAATCATGCTATTATGTGGTGACCTGCAGTATAGATGTGTCACCGGTCCAGTGTGAGGTTGTCTGTCCTTCTTCCATATCTAGAGGCCGTTAAAAGAAGCACCTGCTGCTAAGAGCACCTCAAGCCTTTCTGATCATCAGTGCTTTAACCAATCAGTGGGTTTGTAAAACCCCAGGCCTCCAAGTGCTTTCATTTGACATGACTACTGTAATAATGCAGTGTTTGTGTTGCTGTTTGTTCTGGTGATGCTTGGATAATGTACCGTGCTGTCCTTAAGCAAGTGTGTCCTGGCCAAGGATGTCCACTGCTCCCTCGGTTCGCTTCTGTCTCTCTCCTGTACACACTGCAGTGTTGCTCCTCTTTGTTTCTATGTGACCAGTTCATGAACTCTTACCATATTAGGACTGTAAGATATGATTTTGTATTCCTTTCAGAGTTTTACACTACTTTAAATTATTAACTTGCACATTAGGTACAGATGTAAATATAAAAAAATAGTTTATTGTTACAAACATGGCGTGTCTGTGTCATTTTTGTTTTGCTACATTATGAGAAACCTAGAGAGCATGGATTACTTAGGCTGAGAATATTTGTTTTTGTCAGTACTGCGCTCTGAGAATTCAGGGAGCTCTAAATGCACTACATTACTTTTTTGAATCAGAATCAGCTTTATTGGCCAGGTGTGTCGACACACAAGGAATTTGACTCTGGTACATCGGCTCTCAATGTCTATGTACATATCTCCATGCAAGGGGCAAGTAAACAGTAAACCAGCATAAGGCTGTGTAATATAACAAAATAAGCAGTATAACAAGCAACAAACAGTGCAAACAATGCAAAATAAGCAGTATAAACAGGGAGTAAAGACAGACAAAGGAATGTTCATTGAAATGAGATAAATAGGAATAAAAATACAGTAGTTAAAAATAACTTGTACGGATCTGTATAATCTGTACAATGTATATTTACAGGTATTGCACTGAGGGTTATTGTCCAGTCATACTGTCATGGGTCAAGTGTTCATCAGAGTGATGGCCTGGGGGAAGAAACTGTCCTTGTGCCTGGTTGTCTTGGTGCACAGTGACCTGTAACGCCATCCAGAGGGGAGGAGTTTGAACAGATTGTGATCTGGGTGTGAGGGGTCTGCAGTGATCCTCTTTGCTGTCTTTTTGCATGAATCATCCAAGTATAGCTGTGATGTTTTACACAACAAACTCAGGGTAGACCAGCACATTAATACCACATTTTCTATAATGCTGGGAGACTTGCATGAGAGAGAGACTCCACCGATTTTGGACATGAAGGCCACTTTACTTGTAATGGGTAGTACTGAACCTGTGACAACAGTCATGTGCTGTATGTAATGAATATCTGGACAGGATTTGCCAAGTTTGAGTCAAACACTTAAGTCATCATCAGGGGTATCTTGTTGAGATTTCAACTATGTGACAGAAAATGTGTTCTAAACTGAGGTATGGCACAGTGAAGGTCAAATAAGTTGCATTAAATGGCCAAAAAGTTGTGATATTTCTGCCTCTGTTGCACTGATTTGTCTCTAGCAAGTCCCCCAATGTTATGGATGTGTGATACTAAATCATCAGAAGAAATCCATCCATCCATCCATTTTCCTCCGCTTATCCGGGACCGGGTCGCGGGGGCAGCAGTCTAAGCAAAGATGCCCAGACTTCCCTCTCTCCAGACACTTCCTCCAGCTCCTCCGGGAAAATGCAGAGGCATTCCCAGGCCAGCCGAGAGACATAGTCCCTCCAGCGTGTCCTGGGTCTTCCCCGGGGCCTCCTCCCAGTGGGACATGCCCGGAACACCTCC